TCATCGAATGACTGCTCCCGCCTGGGTGAGGCGGGAGGGAGTGTCAGACTCTTACTGACTAAAAACCACCCCGTTCCTTCTCCTGCACGTCGAGCCGGAGCCCCGGTTACCCGTTAGGTTCTCCGCGACAAATGTTACTACACTAAGATTATGTTAGGTTTATCGATACATCGCCATCATTATCATCAAAAGCTGAAGTATGTCCTTTACAGTCCAGATATCTCCCTATAAATTTTTATGTTTTTGACTTGCTCACGTAACTCTTTGATGAGGAAGCCATGCTAGAGGGTCATGTTCATAGTCCCGCGACACACGACGAGGTGACTGTCGCGCTGTTACTGTAGCATTATTTATTTAGTTTGTCTCACAAAAGTTACAATATAAAGATATCCCTCTGTAATTTGACTCTACGGTCAGCGCGTAACGTGTAGCGGGTTCTATTTTCGCACGTAGCAACTCTTTGTGTGATCCATAAATCGTTGTTTCGGGTGTGTCATGTGTATGTGATATTGTATGTTTGTAAACGGCAACGTTTTATACAAAAATAGTGGTAAATAACTATCGTGAGACATACTACATTAACTAAAAATCGCGGGTTACTCACGTGAATATACTGAGAAAAGCTCTACTAGTTTTGAACCACAGAGGGGTTCTTCGTCATGAGCAGCGTGCGCGGTCGCGGCGATGTCGCGCAGCCTTCGAAACTAGTTACTCACCCGCGATTTTTAGTTAAAATAGTTATAAACTTTATAATCTCGACTATTGTCTGAAGTTTTGTGGAATAAATGACGTCACCAAAACGGGTAGGTGCAGACCGCACTCCCATTGTGGTCTTAGTTCTGGATCCTTTAGAATCATGATACGACTTTTAGTGACTAAAAGTGGTTCCTTTGCTGACGTCAATGGTGTTACATAGTTAAGCATGCCATAGAACACCTGTCGTAAACCAGTTTAATTTTAAACAAAGATTTCCTCAAAAGATAAAGAAAGAATGCCTTGCAGTGCATAATAGCCGGTTATTATTGAAACATGCAATTTCCTGTCACAGCGGTCATAATTAAATATAATAAAAGAATAATTATCTTTTGTCACCTTAATTATTAGTTGGTTTCCATGTCCGATAGCACAAAACTTGACATAATTATTGTTAGTCTTTGAAGATGCATACCTACAAAGACATATTGAACTTGTAATTTGCATGTAGTTCTGATTTGTTATATCAGAAATTATCTTCCTAAAGAGCTCACAAATTATTTATCTCCCTTACTTAAAATTGGAATAGGATTTTTAATTATTATCTTATAAAATTTTGGATTGACTAGCCAGGACCTCTTTTCAGGGAGTCTAACGCTGGTAAGCAACTTGACTGTCAGTTTAGTCGGAGAAGTACCTTCAGTACGGGGAAAATAGGAACTCTCACAGATTACCAAAGCAAATTAGCGTCAGTGCCATTTGATTTAACAACGGTTTCAAAGAGTAGGGTTCCCCAAAAATAATAGTGCCGTCCACAACGCACTCGCAGATCATTTTTTTATATTTGATAGGCCGATTGATCTATCAAATATAAAAACCACTATCTCATCTGGTGCGATCTGCGATGGATCACGTCATCCCATAAGCAACCTATTCACTCGGGCCTTGAAGACACCCAGGTTACACCCTTCAAGAAATACAATCTGGCAAAGAATTCTATTTTTTAGTAGTACGCATAAGGAAGCTTAATTAATGCGAAGCGCTTCGTGCTTATGGGTGGGACATCTACCACAAAACGGTGACGCTTCGCCGATTGACAATCCTTTTAGATGTAAAGCTAAAATATTTGAACTAACTGCATTACAAACTCCTGTATACAGTGTCTCTTTTCCTCAAAAGTTGGCACGAATCTGACTCATGCATTTAGCGTGTATACGAGTGTCATCGGTCGGAACCGATCATATCACCTACCACGTCACAGTTGAACTTCTATGTAAATATTCTTATCTATACAGTTTTACATAGCGTTAAATTATTTTTATTTGAGTTACGTTGAATGCTATTTTGTTTACCGGGAATGACGAATTAGTGCTTTTAGTAAATTCCTATTTCGTCTGTTACATTTAGTATCATTGGAGTTTATCCTGTTGGCAAACTACAAGAGCTACTACAAAAATATTTAAAATATTTAATTACTATTCCAAACTAGATTAATACGTAATGCGATTTCCTAGTCATGACATCGCCATAACATGAAAACGACTGTAACAAATTGAATTTTATTCTTATTAGCTCTTATTTGGCTCGACTGCCTCGTTGATCGAGTGGTCGCAAGTGCGACTGCCGGGCAAGGGGTCACGAGTTCGATTCCCGGATCGGTCAAAGTATCACTGGCTTTTTAAAAAATATCTCAATAGTAGCACGGTGTCTGGAATTGTGCCCGGTATATGGCAATAGGCTCACCCCCTATTACATGAGACTCATAACATAAATAGTGAAAATTGGGTGTTACATTTTACAGTGGCATTGAGTACCGTAATATGCACCATATATACCCCTTCAGAGATAAAAAGCGGTGATGTTGTGTAGTTCATATTTTGATTGTTTTTTAAGTCGTATGAATGTGAAAAATACAGTACCTAAATCAGAATAAATAAACCGACCATCTTCTTCAATCGTCTCACGAAGACATAAAATAATTTTTGAATGTGTCTAAAAATCACTAATCTATTTCTTTCTCTTCAACAGCTTCAAGCGATCTCCATACCCTGGCTGGAACCACTCCTGATCGTGTTGAACCTCGGCACTCATGGCTTCTACCCATACCCTCGCGTCTTCCGCAACCAGTACCACATCTACGTGGAACAGATGTCAGTGGCTTCTGAACCTAAGTGCTACCCCGGAATGCTGCACATCTACCTGATAGACCTTCTCAATTTCCTCATCAACCTCATCTGGCTAAGGATCGTCGTTTCTTATGTTGGGGCTGTACACAAGGTAATTTATACTTTACTAGCGACCTGCCCCGGCTTCGCACGAGTGCAATATGCATGTATTAGACAGATAAACCTTCCTCAAGAATCACTCTATCTATTAAAAGAAACCGCAACAAAATCCGTTACGTAGTTGTAAAGATCTAAGCATACATAGGGACGGACAGACAGAGGATAGCGACTTTGTTTCATACTATGTAGTGATGTAGTTTATTGATTTACGAAGTCACACTTCGTTTGTACTTGTTGCCACGAACGTATCGCATTCGGGTAATTGATGACCCCCACTACTACACAATGCGCATTCACTCGATGACGAACTCGACGTAGGTACCAGCTGATCAGAATTAAGTCTAAGGTCTTAGTACGAGTTAGTTTTACGTTAAAATTAACGAAACGAGGCCGCGTTAAACGCTCTGATTGGTTGCTTCATTGGAGCCGGCCAATCAGCGCGCCGGACGCGTACTCGTACATGTATGCTTCCTAATCCTTCAGCGGCATTCCTTACCGCGCCACGTAGTGATGCTTGGTATCGTATAAATATCCGTGTCCAACATTCCGCCCTAAAGTACACTGTACATTAATTGAAAATAACGGCGTATGTAAATAACCGAGGAAAGCTGAACTAGTTTTAAGTCACAACGGCATGATACTTCACGTATACGTACGAATACGTAATCATTTTGACATCGCATTAATATTAAATTTGTACTTTCGAACAACTGGCTGTGGTGCAACGTTTTGCGGTTTCGATCCCCGCATTTCATACATATATACTCGTTACATATATGTCCATCCACTATTTATTTCTGAGTGTGATGTTTTTATAATTGAGACCACGACACAGGTTAAAGTCCTAGTATAGGAAATGTCAGTTGCCTTGAAAGAACAAAATTTGAGTATTCATTCGAGACCATTGATGTATTTATTCCATTGGTATTGCTAGGTATTGCTCAACTCAGGACCTACTCAAAAGATAAATGGTTGAACAAAACCAATGGTTTTCTTATTGACGTTTTTATTTTGATCAGTAAATCTTTGAGTTTGTGATACTCCATTATGTTTACCACATTATTAAACAATGGAGAGTTATTGCCATTTTACTCTAAGTATCTATTTATTATTATCGGTTATTTCTCTTAATTATGTCAGCCATTGATTTAATAGTATGCAATAAAAGAAAATAAATGTGTCGTTTTGACTATTTTCCAACGTCATAATAATAAAATAAGCTGAGCTGTTTGCTACTCTGTGATGCAAAAGATTATTTAAAGGATCTGAATTAAAGATACAGATGTAAATTATAGACAGCCGATTAATACATAGACGGGGTTTTGTCCCGGTAACGCAAACGAAGCCGCTAGCAGAAGCCGAGCTAATAATAATAATCTGTTTATTATTTAACCGCTTGATTGGCTGGGCGATTAAATGCTTCGTAATGGAAGATTCTTAGTAAATCTATGAAAATAATAGTGTTATTTTTAAGCCATATGTTTGTATCAAGACTAAATAAGACTTTGTATTTAATATTTCAACTATAAATGAATCTTTCTTTTCTAAACAGAAAAACCCTGAACCCATGCGTATGTTCCTGAGCCTCTCTGTAGTCAAGCTGGTGATGCAGGCCATGTACTTCGGATACCAGCCCTTCTTCTACGACGTCTACACTATCGAAACTGTCTGGTTCCTGAAGCTCACTGATATTTGTAAGTAAAGCTATATTTACTGTATCATGTACTCATAAGTTATCATTATTATCATTGTTAAGTAAGTGTATACCTCTAGATTGATTCAGACTTGGTATGCGTATTGTTTTAGTTCGGACATGTTTGCTATCACCAAAACATTTACTAGTTGCATCTTTACTGCGTTGTCTTGGTTTTTAAACTCTAACATCTTTATGACAAGACCTTTTTTTCGAAAAAAAACCGTATCACTATCCAGAACCCATCCATCAACTGAAATCTTTTCGTATTTCTTAGTTCATGTGTCCAATAAATCACAGACGTTCATACCTAATTTAATAAACTGTAATACAGTGATCATAATATAATCCCATTCAAAGATAATATGAATATGTAAACAAAATAGTATTTGAGCAACCAAATATTTATCTACACATCCCAATGAATGCTCCCACACTTCCATCTTTGCGTTTTGAATACATTTTAATTATACGCACACATTTGGTTGACATACGATTTCGATTAAATTTTGACCGTCGACACATATTAATGTATGTTACCAATGCACCTGTTTGTGTTATTTTGAATTTATTAGCCGACAGTAATTTGAATAATGCGAATATAGGCAATAATAATTTAATCTCGCGTATGCTGATTCACACATATTTCGAACTATGTAGTGAGGCAAATCGTGCACTAATTAAAATGTCCACGAAAGCAGTAGATGAATCCTTTTTAAGCCAACACACGTTTTTGGTCAATATATGTTTTAAATCTTATTCATATTATTAGCACCATTTTTTTTGAGGGGTAATCATCCAATCGTTTCTCCCGCCCCAGTGATGCGAGTGTCAGACTCTTACTGACGAAAAACCACCCCGTTCCTACTCTTGCACTTCGAGCCGGAGCCCCGGTAACCGGTAAAGTCCTCCGCACCTCACACGCTAATTCTTAAACTCAATATTTCCTCATACAATTTTAACAAGTTTAAGACACTTTTATTCCGACTAAGACAGTCAGCCAAACTGTTCAGGAAACTCAATTTCAATTGATGATTTTTTGTTCCAGTGATCGCCGTATTCTTCTTGATAATAGTGCAGAAGTATACAAAAGCCTTAAGGCTGGAAAAGGCAGCTACTCAGAACATTGAAAAGCCACCATCCTACATCGAATGCCTGATCAACGGACATGTGCGTCCACCAAGCTACGAGGTCAAAGAAGAAGTAGTCATCGTAGATGAAGAAAGGAAACAGAATATTGAAAATGCAGAAAAGTCCTGATTGGTCTAGATGTAAATTATTCAAACGCATACTTCTAGTAAACGCATGCTATTGGCTACTATAATATTAATACAAAGAACTTAGATAGAGATGAAAGTAATTTTATAAGTAATTTTATTAAAGTATGAAGTTTCAGAACCTAAAAAACTTGTCACAGTTGATATATGAGCCTTAAGATTTGCCCTTTGTTATGTTATATTTTTTAAGTAAATAATATTTTCATCAGTTTTCATCATTTTCTATTGTATTTAGTTTAAGTTCACCCGAAGAGGATGTCTTAGAAAATTCTTCTTCAAAATTAGCAAAGATTTTAACTCTTGTTCCTGCTCCAATTTCAAGACTTATTATTATATTGGTAGTGATATTTTCATTTCCATCTTTTTAGATATTAATAGTGTTTTAGATGAGCACTGTTAATAGTTACTTAGTTAGATTCTGCGAAATAATTCCAATTATATTGTCATCTAATCTGACGCTCTCCTATTTTAATCAAATCCGAAATAAATTGGTTTTAACTGGAATAAACCGGTTCAAATCAGTTCTAACCGGGGTCATCTTGTACGTTCCGGTAATTTTAAAATCTCGTTTAGTTCGTATTATTATTATTTGATTAAGATTAAGAATTGTATTCCTATCCTTATGTTAAGTTTGTTTAAGTGTTCTCTTATGCTAGAATTATAGAGGTATCTATGTTTTATTGTGATCTGCACAGATCTCCGTGATATTCCATTTTTCTCGATTAATTTTATTTATGAAATGAATGTCGAATGAAAAATTGTATTTAGTAACGAATTTTTATTTAATAAATTTATTAGATTTACATGATTTGTTTTTAATTTTTTTAATTTCATCCTAGATTCCATGTAAGTGTACCTACGTTGAGAGAAATTATGTCGGTGTCCTCTATTCTAACTAGACCCTATTATGTGCTACGGAAATTTTTCTACCTTTGACATAAATCCAGGCGCCCTGCTTTTACTAAATTTTTTTATTCTGAATGAGTCCTGTGAATCCCACATGAGTCCTCTTTTTTTTAATAGAACAAGCCCGCCACAACCTCCCAAAACCGCTGCAACTCCTGTAAGCCAGGATCTACGATAGATACAACCATGACAACACCGAAACACTGAAGTCCGGCGAGTCCTTGGGACATGAATAACTGTCTTGGGTCCCGCAATGAAGTGAATCAGAAGATATTATAAGAGGAGAAGAAAAAAACGATGGTTTCCACTTCCACTATTGGCATGGTGAATCAATAAGTTTAAATGAGAACAATTTGCTTCTAAAGTTGACGTGGCCAGGAAAAAATTGGGCAACACAGTGATCCACCTCCAACCATGTCCTCTCCAGCCGCTCATGCACGAATGGGAAGAACTGATATAGGTGGCGGCACGCCACCTTTATAAGCTCGCCCCAAACGACTGTTAATGCCTTAAACAATCTAGCAATTTTATTTCTATCACTTTGTGCTAGAAAGCTTGCTGACAAATTAGGTCTCGCATTGTAGTACATGAGTCCTCTTGCTGAGAAGCCGAACTTGAAACCAATGTAGGCCTAAATATCCAGAGAAACTAAATATGTACATTGAAATTTTCTCTGTGAACTCTATAATCGGTATTAATCGATTCATTCGTTTGATTATGGAACAATCGATTACAGTTACGGGTCACGATAATAATGGAATGTAATCTACATGCTGTGTCGAGTATCGAGTTATGGCAATTACTTCTCTTGAAATCGATAATGCACAATAGCCAGGTGTATTTCAATCGAGTCTTGAAGTATTAACAATAGGGTAGATACCTAATTTTTATTATAATGTCCATCTGGTAGATTATTTAAAAACATTAAACACGTATTTTTATTTTTTAGAGAAACGAATACTTTCAACGATATAATGATTTAAAATGTCGCGTGACGCCACTTCTATGTATATTTTATACGTAGAAATGACGTTTTAGCCCCCACTCTAAAACTTTCATTCGTTATATCTAAGTATTATTTTATTACACAACAAGATAAAAAAATACATGCGTAATATTTTTTCATTACTTAACTTACGGACAAAATAGATTTTTAATTTTCATACCTCGTGATCATCCCTATTCTAGTAGGTATGTTTGCTTGTCTATGTTACGGAATGCCGTTTAAAAAATCCTGAAAACTTGAAAACTATGACTATACATCTTTTTGACCTTTTCACGTTCGTGAATTGGGTGGGTAGACACGAATAGTCGAACTTAGCCTATACCATTAATCGTTTTAAAAAGAGTTGAGTAGTTTCCAGATTACCAAAATTAAAAATCTAATTAGTCCGTCAGTTAGGTAATGAAAAAATATTAGACACGTATTTTTTATTTTCTCGTATTAATTTGCAATACTTAGATAAAATGGCGCTAAGTTTAGGAGCGGGAGGTGGTTACGTCATAACGTGCTACAAAATGTGGCACGCTGTGACGTCACACGATATTTCAAATTAATATATCGTTGAAAGTATTTAATTTTGTGATAAAAGAAAAAATATGTGTCTAAAGTTTTAAATTAATGTACCAGACGGACATGATAATATTTAGGACACTACCCTATTATAAGTAATCAGTAAATTATTACAAGTTATTGCAGCCAGTTAACCAATGAAACGATTGCAGATTCCGTGTTAACACTTATTTTAAATCGAAACATCAATAAATACTTATTACTTACTTACTACTTATATGCTTGCCATTCCATCGAGCTATCAAGCTATGAGTAACCAGTTTAATAAGATCTCGTTTCGTAGGATCTTTGCGCACATTTGAAGGTCAGTTTATACTGGTTATTATGCATAGCTTGATTTGTAGTCGAGCCAATATTGGACCTTGTACTTGGCGCAGTAGTAGAGCGACTGGTTGGTCGCTGGTTCAATTGTACCTCTAATAAGTAACAGTTCTTTGTATAAGCACAGTTAGGTAATCCACAAATTGTAGTTTTCTAGTCTGACTGTTTGTGTTTGTACCTACGACAAAAGTGTAAGTCCTTGTGTGGAACCATACACAGTTATGAAATCACAAAGTCAAAGCATTTGTTTCAATTATTCCTTGTACAGACGCTTTTCAAACGTCAACACAGCATTGTCTGTCAGACTGACCGTCCGAAACTACCGAAACTAGGTGCTAGGTGCACAATTCTAAACTCTAGTGCTATTCTCAGAGACATTTTTAATGTTTTTGTAATAACTGTCGTGAGACATAGGTACTAAATTAACTAAAAACCGCGGGTTACTCACGTGAAAATACTGAGATAAGCTCTACTAGTTTTGAACCACAGAGGGGTTCTTTCTTATGAGCAGCGTTCGCGGTCGAGGCGATGTCGCGCAGCTTACTCACGAGTAAACTTCGATTTTTAGTTGACATTTTTTGTTCCGAAAACAACTACTGAGGCCCGAGTTAACTGACCATTAAATACCTTGATTGACTGTCATTGACTGCACGGATAGTGTGGCTTATCAACCGGCTGCCATCTAACTTGTAGTGGGTTCTCCACAAGTTGTTGTTTTGGGTCTGGGTGTCATGTGTATGTCAATTAGTTTGTTTGAAAATACATTCACGATTCAGGAAAAGATCCTAGTATGGGTCAACGTTTTAAAAGAAATAAAGAAAGAACTCTGTGTATGGCGGCTAGTGCTATCATTGATTTCCAAATGAAAAACGTCCCATACTTTCTGTCGATCCACACCAAATTAACCTCTCATCTCATAAGAGACACACTAGAAAACACATTGTGTCTACGTTCGATATCATGGGTTAATATATACTCGCCACTAAACTAAACTTAATTATAAATCCAACTCGAAATCCACAAACATTAAGTCTGAATCATGGCCAAAGTATTTGCCGAAGTAGAAATCTGCTTTAATTCTATTTACAAAGCATTATTACCTGTTGGGTTCAGTCCAAGAATAGTGCAAGTTCAGCTAAATCTCTGATTTAAATGAGATGTGCTTATGGCAGTGGGATGCTGCATTTTAATATTTCTCTGATTTACTTTTATGACCTTAGTAGGAGGTTTGGGATTATAATTAAGGAGTCGGTGTTTGTTAGTTATTTTTCAACTGTCTAGCCGCTGTACTCAGAGTCATGAGTACGGCGTACATGGTATCGGCGACATATCGAAGCCTGGCGACTTTGCCCGACATTATTATAAGGTGACAACGCGCGCCATGTCGACAGCGACGTTGAAACCAATCTCAATGTTAATGCAATTGCAATCCAATAAAATGTCAATAATTATTTAATGTCAAAACTATACAACCCCTATTGTAGTTGTTAAAATAGCATTCAGAGTATGGAATATAAAACCAAACTCAATACCATTTAGTTCATTAACTACCCACGTAATACGGATACAATGGGCGCTAGTGTTGAATTCAAGAGTACGAAATCTTACAATATCAATGTCGATCGATCGGAATTGGATTCAAGAGTAAGCCCACTGTTACCAATGGGCTTATTCAACGCAACGTTGGATTGGTTGGACGGTATCGTCGCGCTACTTCATCTAACGTTGGCGGCAACACGTGTCGCAGGACGTTTGTCTCCTTGTTGACTTTAACCTTAGCATTTGTATTCGTTACAAAGGAAAAGTTTAAGTCATCATTAAATGTTTTCCCCGTCGGCTCCAATATGGGGTTCTTCAAGATAGGTTTAGTAAGGGTCAGCAAGGCGTATGTAATGTCCCAATTGTTGCCAGCGTCCTTACATAGGCCACGGTAACCACTTAGTATTAGGTAGACCGAGCGCTTTATTGCCATCGTCGTGGTATAAAAAAATGTATCTGAGTACGGCAGTTAATGTCGTTCCACCATTGTGTCTTTAGTTTGAGGTGATCTGCTGTGAAGTCTGGGTTTTTGCAAGCATAATATGTATATTGGCTACGGAAAAGAAGAAAGGGATGCCGAGGTGATTATGTCTTAGTAAAACGTTAAAAGTATCTACCTTTCAATTAACTACATAAATGGGCAAAAGCTTTCCTAAATGAGGAGTGCTGGAATGCTAAGTACCTTCTTCATAAACTCTTTCATTAAGAATCAGTTTCATTCACATAATTAAATATTTTTTATAAGTGTGGGAGAGTGTGGCCATGCTTCGGCACGAATGGACCACGGCTCGACCGGAGTGATACCACGGCCTCACAGAAAACCGACGTGAAGAAACGATTGTGTTGTGTTTCGTCGTGTGAGTGAGGTTATCAGAGGCCCAATTACCCTCCCCTTCCCCAATCTCCCCAATCCCTGAATCCCCAACGATCCTCAAACTCCTAATCTCCAGAAGGCCGGTAACACACTTGTAACGCCTCTGGTGTACTAGGTGTCCATGAGCGACGCCGATTACTTACCATCAGGTGATCCGTCTGCTCGTTTACCGGCTAATGCCATAAAAAAAAACGTACTGAAAGGAAACACAACTCCATATCTCCGTTAAGATTTTCAAAAGTTAAAGTACCCTTTAATTTAATAACTCCCAAAAAAACTGCAAAAAACTAAAACTATAAATCTTAAAAATACCACCAACGAGGTAAGCCACCAAATTATACCATACCGTTAGTAATATTTAGACACATCAAGTTATACAACACCAGTATAAAATGACCGCTGACTGTACCGAAAGACGATGTAAAGCGAGTCCGTGTTAAACTGGATTGTATGGCTTGATGTGAAGCCGTGTACCTGGAATCTATCCAAGGTGAATTCCAGTGGATTTCGCGGCAAGCTCAGGCATTTCATAACGCTCCCGTATTAATTTCTATTACACTGTTTCTGAAAGGTAGACTAAGCGAATTGTCTG